TAGAGGCCCTGTACATGGATTCGTGCACATTGAAAGGAAATTAATTAAAAGGTGGCTGGCGGGGTGGGACTGGGTGAGACCGGCGGACATGCCTTGGAGCCAACCTCCCAAGGTCCCTCCCCGGCCAGCCACACCTGGGGTGGCGATGCAGCTCAAAGGGCGTCTGTGGAGTGAGTTGGGGTCCCTCAGCCTGGCCTGCGGGGATGGGGCCAAAACAGGCTCTCCGACATCCCGATGGGCCCCAGATTGCAAGAGGGTGGTTCTCCGGTGATGCACCCTAGAATTGGGCTCCCTCATCTCTGGTTCCAGGTGCATCACCCAAGAACCACAGATGCCAAGTCACCACAGTGTAGCAGCTCCTGCATTGAGCATCTGCCCTCTGGTGGTCATTGTGTGTCATAGCTGCTGGTCGGACGATCACGTAGGCTTTTATGTATATAGATAATGCTATGAACATGTGTGCAAACGTTTTTGTGTGGACACGTTTTCATTGCTCTCAGGTGTATGCCTTGAAAAGGAATTGCTGTGTGGTATAACACTTGGGTTGCGGGAAACGAGTTAAGTCGGCTCGCGTGAATTGCGCGTACTCCGCGGGAGCCGTCTTAAACTCGGTTCATATAGATTTGCGGTGGAGTGCGGGAAACGTGTAAACTCGGGCCGATTGTAACTGCGTATTACCAAATATTTCATTTCAATCGAACCCATACTTCAAAAGATATAGGCATTTTAACGCGCCATCTTATATTTTGGCGGGAAATTCACCCGCAACCCAAGTGATAACTTTCTAAGGAGCTGCCAAACTGTTTTCCACCGTGGCTGCACCATTCAATGTGCACGAATCCATGTACAGGGCCTCTAGTTATTCATAATAGCCCAAACTGGAAACCACCCAACATCCATCAGCCCAGTAGCAATGTATGAATGTTTGTTTCTCCCTACATCAATGCTTGTTTTCCACCTGTAAATTTTAGACATCTGGTGTGCCAAGTGGTACCTCATTATGGTTTTATATGCATTTCTCCAATGATTAGTTATGTTGAACATCTTTTCATGTACTTTTTGGCTATTAGCACTACGGTGTCGGGTGAATTTCCCGCCAAAATATAAGATGGCGCGTTAAAATGCCTATATCTTTTGAAGTATGGGTTCGATTGAAATGAAATATTTGGTAATACGCAGTTACAATCGGCCCGAGTTTACACGTTTCCCGCACTCCACCGCAAATCTATATGAACCGAGTTTAAGACGGCTCCCGCGGAGTACGCACAATTCACGCGAGCCGACTTAACTCGTTTCCCGCAACCCAAGTGTTAGTATATCTCCCTTGGAGAAATATACAAATCCACTGCTCATTTTGAAATTGAGTTTTTTGTTTATATATTCTTTTTTAAAATATATATATTTTATTGATTTTTTACAGAGAGGAAGGGAGAGGGATAGTTAGAAACATCGATCAGCTGCCTCCTGCACACCCCCTACCGGGGATGTGCCTGCAACCAAGGTACATGCCCTTGACCGGAATCTAACCTGGGACCATTCAGTCCGCAGGCTGACGCTCTATCCACTGAGCCAAACCGGTTAGGGCTGTTTATATATTCTTTATGTATTCTGGATACTGGACCCTTAAATTTATGATTTTGCACATATTTTTCCCCATTCTGTGGTTATCTTTTTGACATTTTTTAAAAATATATTTTTTTATTGATTTGAGAGAGAGATAAAAACATGAGAGAGAATCATCGATTGGCTGCCTCTTGCACGCCCCACACTGGGGATCAAGCCCGCAACCCAGGCATGTGCCCTTGACCAGAATCGAACCTGGGACTCTTCAGTCCACAGGCTGACACTCTATCCACTGAGCCAAACCAGCTAGGGCTCTTTTGACATTTTTTATAGTGTCCTTTGAAGCACCAAGTTTTTAATTTTGATGAAATCCAATTTATTTTTTTCTTTTGTTGCTTGTGCTTTTGGTGCCATATCTAAGAAACTATATTTTCTTCTAGGACTTAGCTTTCACATTAGGTCTTTGATCTATTTTGAGTTCATTAGCAGTACAAGGTAGGGGTCTAATTTCATTCTTTTATTGATTTTCAGAGGGAGGAACATCCATTTGTTGTTCCACTTATTTATGCATTCATTGGTTAATTCTCATATGTGCCCTGACCAGGAATCAAACTTGCAATCTTGGCATATTGAGATGATGCTCTAACCCAGCAGCTGCCAACCAGTCCGAAAGGTTGGTGACTGCTGCTCTAACCAACTGAGCTACTCAGTCAAGGCCTCTAACTTCATTTTTATGTGGATGTTCAGTTGCCCCAGCACCATTTTTTTGGAAAAGAATATTTTCCCCACTTAATTTCTTAGTACTCTTGTTGAAAATCAGTTGTTTATACAATGTGCTTATTTCTGGACTCAGTTCTTTTCTATTGATACACTGTATGTCTGCCCTTGTACCAGTACAGCACTATTTTGATTATTGTTTTGTATAAGGTTTTGATATTGCAAACGAGTCCTTCAACTTAGTTCATTTTCCAGATTTACTATTCTGGGTCTCTTGCATTTCCATGAAATTTTGGATTAGTTTTCTGTAAAAGAGCCAGCTAGGATTTTGACAGGGATTGCACCAACTCAACAGTGGTTTTTAGTGTACATGCCTACACTTCCTGTTTTTATTACTAGGCATTTCATTCTTTTAATACTCTTCGAATTGCTTTAAATTTCATCTTTTGATTGTTCATTGCTAATACCTAGAAATACACCTGAAGAAATAGCTACTCAAATCTTTTGCCCATTTTAAAGAGGTTGTCCCTTTACTGTATATTCATCTTGTATCCTGCAACCTTGAACTTACCTGTGATAGTTTGTGGATTCCTGAAGATTTTATGTATACAAAACCATGAAGTTTTACTCCCTTTCCAATCTGGATACCTTTCTCTTTTCCCTTGCCTAAGTGGCCTGGCTAGAACTTACAGTAAAATACTGAATAGAAGTGGCAAGGCAGACATCTTAAAGCATCTCAAATGCAATTAGTTCTCTTCTGTTCCTAGTTTATCATAAAATGGTGTCATATTATGTAATATCTTTTTGGTTTTGAGAGGATCATGTGGGAGTTTTTCTTTGTATTAATATGGTATATTATGTAGACTGATTTTTGTATGCTGAACCAACCTGTGTTCTTAGTATGAATCTCACTTGGTCATTTCCCTTTGATTAGGCAAATTTGCAGAGGCACTTTCTCCAAAGAATAGGACATTTGTAAACTATATACTTATTTGCTAGGCACTGTACCAACTGCTTTATCTGCGTTTCCCTTTAAATTTTCAAAGCAACAACTTTACAAGGGATTTATCCCCACTTTACAGGTGAGAAAAATGAGATTTAAGAGCTTCTGTGATTTGCACACTGCCACTAAGTGGTGAATAGGGGATACTAGACTCTGCTACACTCTAATGCAGGGGTGGGGAACCTTTTTTCTGCCAAGGGTCATTTGTAATTTATGACATCCCCAGGCCATACAAAATTATCAGCTTAAAAAAGGGAAATTTATATCCCACTGCGGGTCTGTGAACTCAGCCCGTGACCTGACACTTTTGAACCCCCTGAGTGAAGAGGGCTTCAGAGTGAGAATGTGACTTCCTAGCTTAGTGAGCTAAACTTTTATGCCTTTGTTTTTCTTCCAGAATCATGATCTCCAGACCCTAACCTTTCCCAAGAGGAAAGCACAGGAGAGGAAGGAATGGGAATGGTGACTAGTCTCCTCACAGCAGGGCCACATGTAAGTTGGAAATTTACTCAAAAACAGCTTTTACATTAAGGGGGGTTTTGTTGTTAATTACAAAAGGAATACATATTCATTGTAGAAAACCTGGGACGCAATGGGTGATACTACGGAGGAAGAATGAATAGGCACTTGGATTTGTGGGGAAGGAGAACACCCAGGTTTCTGGGCGGCCAACTAGGTGAATGGAGGTACCGTTCCCAGAGCTGAAAATACACCTTCTTGCCTCTGTGGCTTTGCTCATGGTGCTTCCCCTGCCTTAGATAATATCCTTCTCTTGCTCCTTCTGAGGAGTTTCTATAAGGCCAGCATGTTGATTGCCTCCTCCCAACCTCCACCCAGGATTCCTCTTCGATAGTCTTACATGCTGCTCTGTCCATCTCTGACACATTACAGGTCATTGCATGTGCTTGGCCCTCCTGTATCGTGTCATGTCTGAGTTCACAGAAATACCTATTAAATGTTCTTAAAACATTCAGCTTTCACATTTGTTTGCCAATTTCCACCTGGTGGCTCATTGGGTAAACTGATTCTAATTTTGGTTTTCCTATATTGCTGTTAATTCCCAAGCAGCTGTTACTTTCTGTCCAATTACTGTTCGTGCATATACACACGTTATCTCTTCATAAGGAAAAGCTACCAGAATTGTAAATGTATAAGAGACTTTTATTTATTTTTGTGCCAATATCCAATACTGTTAAGCACATAATAAGTGCTTTTCTGGAACTCAAAGCCCTGAATCCTTTCCAAGACCCTCTCTAGGCCTGCTAGCCACCTCACCCATAGCTGCCCACCTCCCTCACCACATATCCAAAGGTTACTGGGCAAGAAATGTGCTTGTTGTTTCAGGGATCCACGCCCTTCAGCAATGTGACTGCAGCTTTTACTCACAAAGAGTGGAGGCACTTGGTCCGAGCTCCAAGGAAAGGGTTTGAGGAGATACCAGAAAAGTCCAGGAACCTGGTCCTACTGGGTAAGGAAACCATTGAGCATTCATACTCTGCTCAGTCTGAAAACCTGTGGCCCTTTCCAGCGTTGAGTGATTCCGAATTGCTCTGACACCCTGGAGGGACAGTGTTTAGTCTTCCTCGTTCCCTAGGAAGTCTCTGCATTCTTGGTTGGGCATTTTCATTTTGCTCCCTGAGTTTACATCTCACCATTTCCCCCCCTAGGACTAGGGTTGGGGTAACCCTCAGGTTAGTTTTCTCTAGTCAGTAGTTTCACATCTTCCTAAGTAGCTTGCTTTATGAGCTTAGCTTAAATCCTTAGCTTGACCCCCTTCTTGAGGCTGTTCATGTAGTTCCTTCCAGAAATGCTTTTACCAAGACATTGGCACCACACCATGTCTGTCTGTCTTACTGCTGTATCCCGTAGTGCACAGCACAAGTGCATGCTCAATATGTATTTGTTGAATGAATGGAATTAATGGCCTAACTGGCCTTTTCCATTCCCCTGAATGCTAGGTGGCTATTAGGACAGGTCTCTAAAGCCCATTTTCCCCCCTTGAATAGGACTTCGTTTCCCAGCCTGGTATCAACTCCCAGCTGGAACAAGGGAAAAGCCCATGGATGCTGGAGGGAGAAGGCCTAAGGAGTACCTGTCCAGGTAAGGGAACAAGCACTAAGCCAGTGAGTCTTGGGAGCAAAAGCCCCTTTGAAACCCACATTAATGCATTTGATAAGGGAATAGTAACTGGGGGTACAAAGGTGAGGGTGGGGGCTATCTTAGATCAGATGAATAGGCATGAACTCCCAGTTAGAACAAGGGAAAAGTCCATGGAACAGTGGGGGAAAAAAATAGGTTCTAAGGACACCTAGACTATACAGGAAGGAAATCCATTTATTGACCCCAGAGCATGTGCCAAATGGGAGGGGAACTGCATGTTGCCCTCCCACCCCCTGGATAACTCTGGCAAGAAGTGCGATTCAGGACCTCTAGCCCGAGTGCACACCAGGACCTAGGCCCAAACTAGCTCCGTGGCTTGTCCCCAAAATTTCCCACAGCCTGTAATTGCTCCAATTACAGCTCCAGGCGCAACACAGCTTACCCGAGGTTCCCTGCAGCCTGCTTCAGCTTCCAGCTGCCCTTCCAAGGTGGTCCTGGCGTGGCTCACACCTGCTCCAACAGCCGCTCTGGGCTCTGAAGTGGCTTCACCTCTGGACTCCTCACAGCCTGATTCCACTCACACGTCTGCCAAGATGGTCCCAGCGCAGCTTGCCCCTGGGACTTGTGGCTCACACCCACCACAACTAAACCTCCAGGCCCCATTGTGACTTTCCCTGGACTCCGCAGCCTGAGCCCCTCCAACTGGCCTGCCAAGGCACGTCAGAGCACCTGTCCTCAGGACGCCTGCAGCTCCTACACAGGCCACTCCAGAAGGTGCTGTTTTGCCTAATTCATAGAAACAGTCAAACGAGACAGAGAAATATGTCCCAAATGAAAGAACAGGACAAAATCCCAGGAAAAGAATTAAATGAGATGGAGACAAGTAATCTACCAAATAGAGTTCAAAACACTGGTTATAAGGGTGTTTAGTGAACCCAGGAGAATAGATTAACTCAGAGAGAATCACAAAGAGGAAGACATATAAAGCAACTAGGTACGTACAAAGGAGACCCCATAAAACTATCAGCTACTTTTCAGAAATTTTGCAGGCCAAAAAGGAATGGTACAATATATTCAAAGTAATGAAAGGGGAGGGAACCTGTAACCAACAATACTCTATTGAAGGCTAGTTTCCTAGACAAGCAAAAGCTAAACCAGCACCGGAGAAAAAGAAAATTAGGTGGAAAAGAAAATTCCTTAAACTAAAAGTAAGAAAATGTAAGGGTGACCTCAGCATTATGGCAGTGTGTGGAAACTCCTTTGTATCTCCCCTTACATCGGCAATCCAATGAAGCCTGAGATGTCCATGCATCTGAAGGCAGGGGTATTGGAATGCATAGGGGAGGCCGGATTGGAGCAAGAACAAGGGACAGTGCTTTAGATGCAGTTCGGTGGCCCCACATAACACAGTAGCAAGGGAGGTGTTGGGGTGTGCCCCCACACTATGGCCTGCAAAAACAATATTGGTGGCCAAGAATCTGGCTCCCTTCCTCTCCCCCCACTTGCAGCAGAACCAGGTAGCAGCAGTGATGGTGCCCATTAGGAACAGGAGGCAGCCCTGTGGTTGTGTGAACCCAGCTCCTGCCCACCCACTCCATGGTGGTTACGCCCAAGACTGAGGGGACCCAGACATATAGTGGGGACACCTATAACAACCCCTGAAGCACACACAGCACAAGAAAAAAAACCCTGAAAATAGCACTATGTCACCTTCTACTGATAAACAAAACAGAGCCTCTAATTATCAACCTATTGAATCTTTAAGATCAAAACAGTATCTAAACAAGGAAAGAATCCACTGCCTCAAATGCACAGGCAGAGGAATGATCCCTTAAGTACCATGAACAACCAGGGTAGCATGTAACTTCCAAGTGTCCAGAAACCAATCTGAAAGACATGGAAGACTGATATTCAAGATTCCTGCCATGAAGAAACTCAACATACAAGAAAACTGAGAGGCAGTTCAGGTAAGGTCAGGAATAAAATTAGTGAACAAAAGGAGTACTTTACCAAAAAGAACCAAACAAATTCTGCAGCTGAAGAACTATCACTAAATGAGATGAAGAGCACATTAAGCTCCGGCCGATGGCTCAGTTGGTTAAGTGGAGCTTCTTCCCATACACATAACAAGGAAACAGAATTTCCGGAGGATGAGGCCCAGAAATCAGGATTTTAAAAAGATTCCCAGGTGATTCTAAATGTGCAGCCAAGGTTGAGAACCACTGCCATACACCAAACAGGTTGCGGACTGGATCCCTTGCGGCACATACAGGAGGCAGCTGAGTGTTTCCCCTTTCCTCTCTAAAAATCAATGTACATATCCTCAGGTGAGGATTATCAATAAAATAAATTTAAAAAAATTGGAAATACAATAAACCAGATGGAAGACAGAATTTGTGAAACTGAAAAAAATAACAAAAAATCTAGAATTGACAAGATCTTCACAAAACTAGGGAGAGAACTAGACAATCCAGTACAAGAAGCTAACAGGACATGAAATTATCTCTGCAAAAAGACCCCTAAGACGCATTAAAACTGTTAAAAGTTAATAATAGCTGGGCCACTGGGGCTCGGTTGGTTGAGTGTCATCCCATGAACCAGGTCACGGTTCAATTCCAGGTGAGGGGATGTGCAGGAGGCAGCCGATGGATGTTTCTATCTCTCCCTCTCTTTCTCTGAAATCAATAAAAACATTTTTTTTTAGCTCTAACCGGTTTGGCTCAGTGGATAGAGCGTCGGCCTGCGGACTGAAAGGTTCCAGGTTCGATTCCGGTCAAGGGCATGTACCTTGGTTGTGGGCACATCCCCCGTAGGGGGTGTGCAGGAGGCAGCCAATCGATGTTTCTCATCATGTTTCTAACTCTCTATCCCTCTCTTCCTCTCTGTAAAAAAAAATCAATAAAATATATATATTTTTAAAAAACACTTAAAAAAAAAGTTAATGATAAAGAATTCTCAAGGAGGAGAAGGGGCAGGGGAACAGACAGCAACCGCCAAAGGCAAACTTACCAGGTTATCCTATTTCTCAGTAACCCTAACAGGCCAGGTGAGTGGAATGATATATTCAAAACACTGAAACGAGGTTGCATTGGTGGTATAGTCGTGAGCATAGCTGCCTTCCAAAACACTGAAACTACCAGCCAAGACTAATCCAACAAAACTATCCATGATAGATGTGTAAAGATATAATACATACATACAATGGAATCTTACTCAGCCCTGAAAAATGAAACTTAGCTATTTGCAACAATATAAATGGACCTTTTCTAAAAAGTATTATGTTAAATGAAAAGTCAGACAAAGGAAGACAAATACCATTTGATTTCACCTATATGTGGAATCTAAAAAACACAAAAATGAACCAACGAAACAACACAAGCTCATAGTCAGAGGGGAGGGGAGGGAGGTCAGTGTTGGGCAGAAAAAGGAAAGGGAATTAAGGAGTACAAACTTCCAGCTAATAAAGTAAGTCAGTGATTTAAGTTACAGAACAGAGAACAGAATCGATGTAACAACTATTGTGACAGATGGTTACTAGAATTACTGTGGTCACTTCATAAGGCATAAAAATGTGCTGCACACCAATTTAACTTAAAAATATCCATTCTAGTAAAAATGATGCAGGTTCAGTTAAATTTAGAAAAAGATCAAGATCCCCTATCCCTGCCGAACCAGTTTGGCTCAGTGGATAGAGCGTCGGCCTGCGGACTCAAGGGTCCCAGGTTCGATTCTGGTCAAGGGCATGTACCTTGGTTACGGGCACATCCCCAGTGCGGGGCGTGCAGGAGGCAGCTGATCGATCTCTCTCATTGATGTTTCTAACTCTCTGTCCCTCTTCCTTCTTCTCTGTAGAAAAATCAATAAAATATATTTAAAAATAAAAAATATAAATAAAAAAAAAAATAAATAAAATTAAAAAAAAAAAAGATCCCCTATCCCACCACACAGAAATAAACAGTCTTCATATCACAAAATTCAGTAATATGTAATTTTACATATTCCTTTTTTCACTTAACAGTGTTTCTATCACTGCATATTCTCTGAAAGCAAGGTTTTTATAACCTGTATTATAAAATACTGTCATTAAACATTAGGAATACAGATAAGCACTAGGAAAAATTGTCTGATCCCACAACCCAAAGACAATACAGCTTATACCCACATCTTTCAGGGCTTTTCTACCAAAGGAATTAGTTTAGACTTCAAACATAACTTGCAATTGCTAATAGTGTCCTTTGGTTGGCTGTGCTATGGTCATCCCCTCATTATTCAACATTTAGATGTTTGCTTTTCATTTGACAGTTGTGTATTCTCAATGGTTCCTTAGGATAAACTCGAATAGAATTCTACTATCAATATTTTCAAGACTCTTGGCACATGAACCATATTGTTTTCCAGAAATGTTCCAATTTATGCAGCCCCACCAGTGTATGAGATATCGGGGTGCTAAATTCTTACCAACGCTAGGATTACACATTTTTTTTAAATCTTAATTTTAAAAAGTGAAAAAATTTATATTGCTGCACTGTTAGCAGCTTTTTGTTTTGTTTTTTTGTTAATCCTCACCCGAGGATATTTTTTTTTAGGGAGAGTGGAAGAGAGAGGGAGACAGAAACATCAATGTGAGAGAAGCACATCGATTGGTTGCCTCCTGCACAAGCCCTGACCAGGGCCTGGGCTGGGGAGGAGCCTGCAACCAAGATATGTGCCCTTGACGGGAAGCGAACCCAGGACCCTTTGGTCCTCAGGTCAACACTATCCAGTGAACCAAACTGGCTAGGGCTGCTATCAGCTTTTTAAACCAGGTAAGCAGAATGCCCAAAACCACACAGAATTGAGACTAGGACAGCTTGAGACACTACCTAGTAGTATTGGGCAAAAACAGGTCAGTAGCAGAAGGAAAAGGAATATCACATCTGCGGTAGAGGTTCAAGAAAGGGGAGGCTAATGTGAGCTAATGTCCCTGAGAAGCCACTGGTCGTTATTCATGGTTTAGAACAGAAACATAAACCACTAATGTTCTGGGTGAAAGTGAAGCATCAAACCTGTCTGCGTTTGAGTTCAGCCAAACTCCTCCAGCCTTTGTATTTCAGTATTCTCTTTTCTTCTACCAAAGGAATTTTTTAAATTGCCTTTCTAAATCTTTTTCAGACTGGAAGACTATCTGAATCACCTCCAGAGCAAGACTTTTCTGAAGAATCATTCCAGAATACAAGGGTAGAGATACCTCCTGGGGAATCAGATCATAGGAGCTGTGGACAGGGGAAGAGCTTCAATCTGCGACCAGTCCTTTCTCCACAACAGAGAGCTCCTAAAGTGAGACCCCATAAATGTGAAATACAAACGAAGAGCCTCAGGAGGAATTCAGACATAATTAAATCTCACAGAGCAAAACCATACACATGTAACGAATGTGGCAAAGCCTTCAGTTACTGTTCTTCCCTTTCACAGCATCAGAAGAGCCACACTGGGGAGAAGCCTTATGAGTGCAATGCATGTGGGAAGGCCTTCAGCCAGAGCTCATCTCTTACTCAGCACCAAAGGATTCACACTGGAGAGAAACCTTATAAATGCAGTGAGTGTGGAAGAGCCTTCAGCCAGAATGCAAACCTCACAAAACACCAACGCACTCACACTGGAGAACAAATGCACCGAGTGTGAGAAAGCCTTCAGTGACTGTTCAGCCCTTGTTCAGCATCAGAGAATTCACACTGGAGAGAAACCCTACGAATGCAGCAACTGTGGGAAGGCCTTCCGTCACAGTGCCAACCTCACAAACCACCAGAGGACTCACACAGGGGAGAAGCCCTACAAGTGCAGTGAGTGTAGGAAGGCCTTCAGTTACTGTGCAGCGTTTATACAGCATCAGAGGATCCATACAGGAGAGAAACCTTACAAATGCAACGCATGTGGGAAGGCCTTCAGCCAGAGAGCAAACCTCACAAACCACCAGAGGACTCACACTGGAGAGAAACCCTACAAGTCCAAGTGTGGGAAGGCCTTCAGCCAAAGTACACATCTTATAATCCACCAAAAGACCCACACTGGGGAGAAGCCATAAAGCATTTAACTAGAGTTCATCCCCTAGTCAGCATCAGAGAATTCACACGGGTGTGAAACCCTGCCAATGTAGGGAGTGTGGGAAGGCCTTCAGGTGTAGTTCAGCTTTCATTAGACACCAGACTCCATGCTAGAGAGTAACTGGGAACATGACCAACGTGGATGGGGACCTGATGGTTCGAAAGCCTCTGGAAACACTTTTGCACCTTTAATAAAGTGACTATTTCATGTGGAAGGTCTCAGGAGCTTTTTTTCTTTAACAACTATATAACCCAACTCAAATTACTAGCCACCTATATTCAGTGAGCCTAAGTGCTTTTTGGTGTACCAAGCACTCCAAGAAACCTTGGTTTATAAAGGTATGATCAAATCAGTGGAAGACCTGGTTCCTACTTAAACACTAGGTATTTCAGCAATGGTTATTCCTCCTTGAATGACTTGTAAAAACCAAAAGAACCAGGAATTCTGGCCAGGAAAGAGCATTTCTCTATAATGGGGTCAATAAAGTATCTGATTTGGGGAAGTAAATTCAAGTAGGAAAGATTCTGGGGCCAACCATTTAATGCTACAATTTCACTGAGGGTAGGTGATGAAGGATTCATGCCTTAATGCTAAATATAGGAAAATCCACACACACAGATGCACCACAACACTGCTACACCCTATGTCCACTTTATGGACCTAGTGCTGTTTGAGCTGTTAAGTCTTGGAAGGACAGAAGCTGAGGATGTCAGGAGGCTAAGTTACCAAAATCTCCCCATAAGGCACACCCTAACAGGGAGGGACGACCTGATGAAGCCGTGCTCTCCCTGCAGAGGCAGGTGGGCTATCCCTGCTTTTCCCACTAGAAGGCAGTTCCCTTTGCTTTTCCACTTTGCACTGACCTGGGTCCTGCTGTTGACATTTACACCAACTGATGTGATCTCATCTCAGCAGTTACAAACCACTGTGTGCTTTCCCTGGTTTTTGGTTAGAAATGCGCTTGACTTCAGGGACAGATTTCCCAGTACTGGCCGCCTGCTGCAAGGGAAGCTTGTGTCAACTATTCTCACCCCAAGCCTCTAGCTTTGATTCTTTGGATGACTTGGCACATGTCCTAGAATACTTATTTTTCCCTCACCTTTCCACTAAAGATAGTGTGTTCTCCAACCCTGATTGCACCTGGGGTGACTAAAAACCACCTACTAAAGGGCCTGTTTACAAAATTAATGGGAGAGCAAAGAAACGACTAATGGCAAAAAAATGAAGTTCTTGGGTTAATCATTCCCAAGTGGAGTTTCAAGCTACTCAACTGTGGCTTATCCCAGTGCCCAGGTGCCCATCCATTGCATGTCTAATAAAGGAAAAGCGAGTGATAAGCTCTAAGGATGATTTAGAACAAAGGGATGATGAAGAAAAAGGTGAAAACATAGATTATAATCTGTTGCTGGTTTAAAGCCTAGAGAATGTTAGGACTAGGCTGTAGCTAAACTTTAGAAGTATACTTGACCCTCACTTTCACATAATTAATCAAGGACATAGGTCAGGTTTCTTTGTTATCCAATCATTTAACCCCAGCTGTGTACTGGAATGGATATCAAAGTCTTGAATTCCAGGCCCTGGGCCCCAACCCCCCAAATGATTTGGTCTAAGATGAAGAACATCACCCACGTAGTTACGCTGCGCAAGTTTTCCTTCTGGCCAAGAACTATTTCTTATGAAGAGCTCTAGGAATGTCTATAAAAACCGCTGAGACTTCTTTTCTAGGTGTCTTTCATGAGAGCTGGTGCCATCGAGAGCAGAAATCTGTTACTGGTAAGATAACATGCCCAGAATGGTGCTTCCACAGGTCCCCCACTTGGCCCCACTAACCACCTGACCACAAAGAACCTAGCTCCCCCAGGGAAAAGGCCACATCAAAAAGTCCACTGCTTGTCAAATGATCTTTAATTGAAACATTTTCCTTTGTAGTTCTTAACTCTGTAGGAAAGAAAAAAGAAATCCTATCAGTGATGGGAAAAAAGTCTTCTCAACCCCACTACTGACCAATTCTAGAACTCTCCAGCTTTCAGCCTGATTTTAAGCAAACAAAATACAGAAGTCACTTACAGCCGGACACTCCACTGCACCACTGTTGATATCGTCTATGATGTCATGAGGGTGGCGACCATCAACATTGCACCCCACAGACTGGGCAGTCCCCAGGATCTCTTTAATGGTTCCTATAATTAAGAAAAGGTGGCATTAGATGGGAACGCCAGCCCCTCACAATCCTCAGACACCACTGGGAAAATCCATTTGAGTTCCACAGCAGACAGTCATAAAATACCAGAAATAAACACCCCGACTCCCCTACTTGAGAGCTCCCATTTAGTTATGCAAAGCCTGAATGCCAAGTCTCCATGGGACCCTTGATACCCAGATTAAATCCATCTGGCCCAAAATCACCATGATCAAGCCACTTTTCAAACCCAGAAAAGACTACACCCCAAATTTTGGGTCTTACAGAATTAAGTCTCCTTTAAGTGGGAAAAGGGTACCACTCGGTGAATATGCCCCATATCACTAGGTGGTTCCATGTTGTCCTGCTCTTACCAGAGAGTTCTCTAGCTAAAGATCGGTGACGCATCTGTCGGGCAATGCTGACAATCTCATCAAAAGTGATATTTCCACTGTGCTTAACTGCAGAAAAAGAAAACAGCAAAAGCTTTATCACAAGCCAAAGCCAGAGCAGACCACATAATGACCTCCCCCAGCCACTTCCTGGTTGTTCCCATACTTTCGGCACAGAGTCACCCACATGAAGAATGACCCTGTTTCCTAAGCTGGGGTTTGCTTTCAGCTCACCACTGGAATGCACCAGCCAACAGAGAAGTGGTCAGGTGCAGTGGCGGGTGGCTAATGGCAAAATCAAACCTTTACCAATCTTAACATGTACGTGACTGTTTTAGAGATGAGAAAAGGCAAGCATAAGTTACTGGTGTTAATTAATCTATTCAGTGTCACCCAACTGAGAAGTGCTCTCTTAATTCATCATTCTGTTGTTTCACCCTGAATGGCACTTCTTGATACCGCCTGGCTACCTAACAGCCTGCCATCAAATCCCCATGCCATCCCTAGGTCACGTTAAAAAGAAAGCATGCAGCTAAGTATCAAACATTATGCAGACACCACCGCTCACAAACTAGTCAGAGAAAGGCCACTCACTGTTTTTTTGCTTCTTTCTGTCTCTTGGCGGTTCTTTGAGGGCTTTGATGATCAGGGCAGAGGCAGAAGGCACTACTTCGATCTAAGAAGAGATTGTCATTATGATTAAGCCCTACCCCAACCTCCAATGAAGACAATATTGCCACGAAACTTGGTTTCTTGGAGACCATGGGGCAGACACTGGACTTGTACTATCTCAAGTAATTTTCAAAATCCAAAACATGTCCTAGCCAAGGAGAATTAAGCGATTTGCCCAATGTCACACAGTGAGTTACTATTTGAGCATGTCTTTGACCTTGCTCTCAGGAAAGCTTTCCCCACACATAAAATTGCTCTCACCACTAATGGTAGGTGGCCATGTCGATAAAACCTTCCACCCAGGACTCCCAGAGGGTGGCTACCCCTGCCCACCCTCAAACCAAGTACCTGGGCCTGTCTGTTCTGAATGGTCAGTTTCACTGTAATCCTCAGACCCTTCCAATCACCAGTTGCTTTGGCGATGTCATCACCAACCTTTTTTGGAGACTGCAGAAATAAAGGTATGAAATCATATTGTGCCTTAAGTTTAAGTGTCTTGAAAACCTACCCAGTCTTCCTCACTTGCCAATACCCCAAATCTTCCTTATAGAGCACAGGAAACTGAGCACACAACTGCGCCTACCCAATCAAGGCAAGGCTCTCAGCATAACTGGAAAAATTAAGCTAGGGGTGGTTTGTTCAGGGTTGTAAACTGCAGGCCAAGGGCCATAATGGGGCAAAATTACCTACCTAACCTCTCATAAGGACCTACGTGATAACGTAGGGAGAAAATTTCCACACTAGTTACATTCAAATCATCTGGAGACCTTTCAAGTAATCAGGTTCCTGTGTCAGGCCAACCCAAGTCAATCTATGGGGATGGAGGTCTGGCATTTGCTACTTTAGAATTTCCTAGTGACCACTAGAAATCATGTCCCTAGTGCCAGCAGAGCTAAGGGCCAAGAACACATTGGTTAATGTGTGCATTTAAGCATAACCAATGGACACAGACGATGCGGGAGTGGGGGGATGAAGGCCAGGGCTGGGGGGTGGGACAGGCTGGAAGAGGACAATGGGGGGAAAAGGGACATATGTAATACTTTCAACAATAAAGAATTAAAACAAGAAGGCACTGGTTAAGCAAGACCAAGGTGGGACAACACTTGAGACAAGAGACCACTGTGCAAGGAACAAAGGTCTCATATTTTGGGAAATCCAACTTCAGTAAAATGGATAAGTAGGAAAATAAGACTGATCGTCAAGGAAAGCTGGTCACATTAACCAGTCGGTTTGGAGAATAGGAAGCACAGCTATTATAACGTTCACCAGAATCTTCACCCAACATCCCATTTAAGCCTCCACACAGTGAAATGCCCATTTCCCTCACTAGAAAACATAGGCTAAGCCCTCGCTGGTTCAGCTCAGTAGACAGAGCGTCAGCCTGTGGTCTAAAGGGTCCCGGGTTCCATTCAGGTCAAGGGCACGTGCCTGGGTTGTGGGCTCGATCCCCAGTATGGGGCGTGCAGTAGGCAGCCGATCAATGATTCTCTCATCATTGATGTTTCTCTCTCCCTCTACCTTCCTCTCTGAAATCAATAAAAATAAAGAAAACATAGGCTAAAAGTCACTAAGCCACTGAACTTCAAAACCCTCCCGGCCTCTCCCTCGGGTCCTCATACAGCGGGTAAGAGGCACTGGGCTCTAAGCGCACAGACATAACCTTCCTAACACACCTAGCGGCAATTCAGTGAGTCCGAGGTCTACGCGGGATGGAGATCGGCCCCTCGGGCACAGCTGTGTCTGACAAGGCGGAGCCAAACTGCTCCCGAGTGAGAAACACCCCCTCCCCCCGCGAGATGACTTACCAGGCCCAGGGGCCGATCTTGGGGCCAGGGCAGACGTGCGCCCACTTCCCCGGCGGTGCACGCAGGTAGACTGGGAGGGAAAAACCGTAAGTG